GAGGGGCAGACAGAGAGGGAGACACGGAATCTGAAGCAGGCTCCAGGCTCCGAGCTGTCAGCACAGAACCCAACGTGGGGCTCGCACTCACGAACCATGAGATCATGACTGGAGTCAAAGTTGGACACTTAACTAACTGAGCCACCCAGGCACCCCTTTCAAAAAATTTTTTTAAGTTTATTTTAAAAAAAAACTTAAAAAAAAAAAGTTTATTTTTGAGAGAAAGGGGGTGGGGGAGGGGCAGAGAGAGAGGGAGGACAGAATCCGAAGCAGGCTCTAGGCTCCGAGCTGTCAGCACAGAGCCCGACGCGGGGCTCAAACCCACAAACCATGAGATCATGACCTGAGCTGAAGTCGGTCGCTTAACCGACTGAGCCACCTGGGCACCCCAAGTTTATTTTGAGAGAGAATGAGAACCAGCAGGGGAGGGGCAGAGAGGGGGGGGGAACAGGGGATCTGAAGCAGGCTCCGTGCTGGCAACGGAGAGCCTGCTGCAGGGCTTGAACCCACAAAGTGTGAGATCATGACCTGAGCTGAGTCAGATGCTTAACCTACTGAGCCAGCCAGGCACCCCTAGAGTACCTTGGTAATACTTTATTCTCAAGTTTATTTTATAATGTGTCCACCTTCTCCCTGGAAGGTTAGTTTTGCCTTTGCACAAAATTTGTTATTCTCTGTTGTAAACAGGGGTCACATGAAAAAATATCAGCAAACAAAACATTTACTGTTTAAACAAGCAGGAAGGTTTCCTTCCTTTTGCTGGAAGGAAACCGACCCTGGCTATGATTTCTCTCCTGTGTGAAAACCTGTGCTCTGTCAAGGGTGTGAATGGCACTGTTGCTCTTGAGATGATGGAAGCAAAAAGAAATCAGGTATTTTGCTCACTGTGGGACACGGTTGTGACACCACTTGAGTCGATCCCTGACTTATTTCAGCACACGTCAAGGTACAGCATATAGAATCTGCCCAAAACAAAATTAACTTCATTCAAGGTATACAACAATTTTTAGGTTACTTTTAGAGGCCAGGCACCTTCAAAGAGTCTGCAAGCCCGTGTAAAGCTTCATTTTTTTCAACTACACTGCTTACCAAAGCAGTGGAAATTAGAACAAAGACATTGGCGGAAGGGGCTGGGGAAACCAATCTGGCAACCGCTTACCAAGAAACCTTGGAAAAGGATCCTTGATGGCCAAAAAAAAAAAAGTTTGCATTTAACTAAACGAAAGTCATGTAAAAGGTCCGAGCTGGAAGGCACCAGCCATCTCAGAGAAGAACTCGTCTCCCTCTAGCCTCCCACTGAGGCCTGCCGTCCAGCTCGCCTCCAGGCCTCCCCGCTGTGGCAGAAATCTCTCTGAAATGCAGACACGACGTTATTTATCTTAAGAAACAGTGTCACTGCCTCCCAGTGACCTCGGTGTTCAGTGCCCTCGCGGGGCCTCCGTGAGGCCCTTCCTTCCCGACCCGGCTGTGTCCACACCTCCAGACTCGCTCCAGATGGGAAATGCGACAGCCCTGTGCCACCAGCTTCCCGTTGGCCCAGGGAGAACGGGGCAACTGGGGAGCCACCAGCATTTCAGTCCCCGCGGGGCCTCGTCCCTTGGAGGACCGCCAGGACGGCCGCACAGGTTTGATGTTACTTTGTGATTCACCATGCATGGGGCTTACCAGGTGACACCACGTGACAGGCATCCCGGACACCCTGAAGTGCTGACCTGAGCGACCCGAAACAAATCCGGTCAATGAACCAAACACTCATCAGTCCAGCTGCCCGCACCACGTACACGAGGCCGGTGTCGCTTCCTTAAGGAAAAGGTCCTGACCCTCTCGACTAGGCTGACTCCTTGGAACATCGTCAGAGCACCTGTGCCATCCGGGGGCCGTCGTGTTGGCAACATTCCCCCTCCGCTCACACACTGGGATTCTAGGATACACACTGAGGACCGCCGTCCTCCGAACGGGCTCCCGCTCCTGTGTGAGGGCCGAGGGCCAGTGCCGGTCAGTGCCCCAGGCAGTGAGGACGGGGCCGGACGTCCAGGGGCGAGCTGTGGGCCGGGAGTGCGACTGCAGGCGGGGTGATGGGAGCCAGCTCCCTGCCACACGGGGACAGCTGCGACTCTGGCAATGGTGGCAGGGATGAGCCGGGGCTGGGGGGGAGGCTGCAGCTTTTACACACAGACATGCGCGCTTCTTGGCTCCGCTGAGAAGGCCTGGAAGCGGAGATACCCAGTGGCGCCGAGCTCACCCAGTGCCCAGATGCTGATCCCGAATGCTACTCTTCACTCGGAATCCTGCTCCCTGGAGGAATGGCGGACTTCAAGGCTGCGGGGGCGGGGGGTGGGCAAAGAATCTGTGAGATAACCTGCAACATCAAGTTGTGCCACAAAGGAAGAAGGGCTCCAAGGACACCGAAGCCAGCTTAAAAGGACTGGGTCCCACTGGCTGGGTCTGGGACAATCTGAGCACTACTGTAAATAATGAAAGACTGAAATAAATACTGTTCAAATGTCCACACTACCAAAGCCATCTACACGTTTAACGCGATCCGTATCAAAATAGCAACAGCATTTTTCATAGAACTAGAATAAATAATCCTAAAATCTGTATGGAACCACAAAAGGCCTCTGATAGCCAAAGAATCTTGAAAAAGAAAAACAAACCTGGAAGCATCACAATTCTGTATTTCAAGTTATGTTACAAAACAGCAGAAATTAAAACAGTATGGTATTGGCATAAAAAGAGAACAGAAAACCCAGAAATGAACCCACAATCATATGGTCCATTAATCTTTGACAAAGCAGGAACAAATATTCAATGGAAAAAAGTCTCTTCAACAAATGGTGTTGGGAAAACTGGACCACTTTCTTACACCATACACAAAATTTAACCCCAAATGGATTAAAGATGTAAATGTGGGACCTGAAACCATAAAGCTGCAGAGAGCAATAATCTGAGAATGGCAACTCCTCTCTAGATAGGTCTCCTCAGGCACGGGAGACAAAAGCAAAAATGAACTATTGAGACCTCATCAAGATAAAAAGCTTCTGGGGGACCTGGGTGGCTCAGTCTGTTGACCCTCTGACTCTTAATTTTGGCTCAGGTCATGATCCCAGAGTTGTGGGATCAGGCCCCACACATCAGGCTCTGTGCTAGGGTAGAGCCTGCCTAAGATTCTCTCTCTCTCATTCTCTCTCTCTCCCCCACCCCCCACTCATGCTCTTTCTAAAATAAAAAAAAATTAAAACATTAAAAAAAAGATAAACAGCTTCTGCACAGTGAAGGAAACAGAACTAAATGGCAGTTACGGAATGGAAGAAGATATCTCCAAATGACGTATCTGATAAAGAGTTACTATCCAAAACATATAAAGAACTTCTAAAACTCAATACTCAGAAGCCAAATAAACCAATTAAAAATGGGCAGAAGACGTGAACAGACATTCTGCCAAAGACAACATCCAGATGGCCAAAAGACATAAGATGCTCGGCATCACCCATCACAGGGAAATGCAAACCACAACCACACTGAGGTATCACCTCACACCTGTCAAAATGGCTAGTATCTAAATGACAAGTGCTGACAAGGAAGTGGAGAAAGGGGAACCCTCTTGCACTGTGGGTGGGAGTGCGGACTGGTGCAGCCTCTGGGGAAAACAATGTAGAGGTTCCTCAAAAAATTAAAAATAGATTTCATACCATATGCTCCGGTAATCCACTAGTGGGTTATTTACCCCTCAGATACAAAAGCATTAATCCAAAGGGATACACACACCCTTATGTTTACTGCAGCCTTATGCACAACAGCCAAACTATGGAAGCAGCCTAAGTGTCCGTCCATGAATAGATGAACGGATAAAGATGGTGTGCGTGTGCGTGTATACACAGGGATATTACTCAGCCATAAAAAAGAATGAAATCTTGCCATTTGCAGTGATGTGGATGGAGCCAGAGAGTAGGATGTTAAGTGAAATAGGTCAGTTAGAGAAAGACAAGTATCATAGGCTCTTACTCATATGTGGAATTTAAGAAACAAACAAGCAAAAGGGCGCCTGGGTGGCTCAGTCAGTTGAGCGTCCGACTTGGGCTCAGGTCATGTTCTCCTGGTTCATGGGTTCGAGCCCTGTGTCGGGCTCTGTGCTGACAGCTCAGAGCCTGGAGCCTGCTTCGAATTCTGTGTCTCCCTCTCTCTGTCCCTCCCCACTCGTGCTCTAAACAAACATTAAACAAATAATAATAATTAAAAAAAACACCACCAAAAACCTCCCAAACCAAAAGAGATCCCCATCAACTATCCACGCTAATGGAGGAACACAGGTATTATTACTTTCTTGTTAAGTCCGAATCTTCCCTTTGGAATACGTCTGTGCTCGCATCTGAACAGGAATAGTATTTTTGGTGTGAAAATTTGGGTGGTAGCTTTTTGGTGTGAAAATCAGTCACCGCACTAACATGGAACGTGATGGAATGTTCAGATGGAGTATGAGTGGCAGATGCAGTGAAGACTGAGCAGTGAGACTTAAAGCCTCTCCGTGTCCTGATTTCTTTCCGAAGGCAAGGACGCTACTTTTATCACCTCCAAAATGAAGTTAGGTGGCAAACAGAAGAATACACACCCCAAGACGGAGCGGGCACCTTACCTTCGTCCTCACAAGGAATGACTGGTCTTCGGTCTCAACGAGGTAGAACAGGAAGGGACTCTTGCAGGCCTCTTTCACCACGTTCTTCAGTTTGACGTGCAAGCTGGTGCACAGGTCTGTGATCATGTCCTCGTAGGAGGCTGCCCGCGGGAGAGAGGAGTACAGCTCTGGAGAGGCGGCTTCTCCAGGAGCCGCACTTGACTCTTTCTCTGGGAAAATGACCGGGTTGCTATTCATCATCACCTTGTTGAATTCAGCATATTCGTTGAGAATAAGCGAAATATCACTCCGGGATTCTTTCAAAGTCGTGTTGTATTTCAGTTTGTTGAGGTGGAATGAAACGGTGTGATTTCTTTCAGAGTTTGTAAGATGATTTCTACCGTGACCACACCTCTCCTTCCAGAAGCAGGAACTGTCCGAACCGCCGAGCATCTGGCCTCTCCTATGCAGACTCTGCTGTCTGGGGTCCGAGAGAACCACTGTTACCATGAGGGGACTTCTGCTCCGGGACGCAGGGCGCAGAGCCGGGGCCTCGGATAGTTTTGTCAGAGGGGGAGCTCCCGCAGCGATCTGGAGAGGGGGCTCCTTTGGAAAGACACTGGCAGAAGAGGCAGAATGCCGAGAATCTCCGTTCTTTACAATCTGTTTTAGCTTATGTGCAAAACGCAGATACTCCAGATCCAAAGTGTTCTGGGTGAGGTCATCTGCCACCTGCCAAGTATTTGTCCAGGAGCTGAGCAAACCACGTTTTGCCATGAAACCAGGGCACCTCTTCAGGCTGTGCAAAGCTCTCGTGGTCTCTTTGAGCTCTTTAGTTATGGTGAAATTAGCATAAGTCCTGAGGATGCCACGGAGGTCTCGGATCTGGACGTAAGATGGCACACACCGGTCTTCCTTCTTGAGTCCACAGAGCCAGTGTCTGGGAGGAAGGCCTGTTTCCAACCCTGAGGACTGCTTGCAGTAGCCCCACTCTTCATTATCACTATTATTTGGGCTCAGGAAAGAGTCATAATCATCTTTTGGAGCATCTTCCTTCTTGGTTTGACTACATCGCACAGAGCAGGAACCCTCCACCACTGATTGGGGATTTCTACACCCACCACAAGAGTCTTGATCGGACTCTCCAGAAAGTGGCTCGTAATGGATGTCAGAATTCACACCAAGGTCCATGTCTCTGCTCAGGGTCCCCGAGTCTTCCTTGGCTCTGAGCCCCTCACCAGGACCCTTATTTGCCGTCTGTTCTTCAGAGACTCCACAGATAAGAGGGGTGTGAGACTGGGGAACAAAGGAAGCACAAGGCTCTCTACTGCTATTTTCACTGGTGACTGCTGTACCTTGGTAAGAATCAGCATGTAAATACGTGGGGGAAAGCCCAGCCTTCAACACATCTTTTGTTTCACACACTGACCCGTCTTGCAGCACATGGATTGTTTTTTGCTTATCTTCTGGAGATGTGATGTGCAACTGAGAATCAACACCTCCTAGATCTATGGCTTTTTCGTGGAACTTGGCCTCAGTGTCACTATTCTTAAGCAAACTGGCCATTCTGACTACGGCTATTTCCTGAGTTTGAAAGCCCGTCTCTGCGTTCGTGGCTGTTGAACAATGGGGGAAGGCAGCAGCGCCATGTGAACGAAAGGCAAGTCTGGGGAGCCCCGAGTGCCTGCGTGTCTGTGTGGCGTCAGCTCCGCCAACGGAGCCGGAGCTCAAGGACTTGGCTTGGACGTAAATGCCTTCATTCGTCTTCAAATCACTGCTGAAGAGATTCTTCTCGATGCTTTTGGGGCCAATCTCCTGTTTCAGTGACACATTTGCTATAGCACTTGGTGCAGCTGTAGAAACAAATGTGTCAGCCAGAGACTTATTTTCAATCATCTTTCTAGGGCTAAATGGAGACTCCCAGGTCTCCAAGACCAGATGATTTAAGTCTGAATTCCTGTTCTGTATGCTAAGTGGCTGCAGTGGAATTCCTGATGTTACCAATTTTTCTAGAGAAAGCTTGAAGTCATCTCCATATTGGGCAGCTGAGGCAGGCTGGCTCAAGCCCGTATCACAGGACGGCACCTTTTCTGAGAAAGAGGAACCCTCGCTATGCTCCCTCGGGACAACTTCCTCGGTTGCTCTACTAGGAAGGCTCAAACAGCCATCTTTTCTTCCTGGGTGAGGCAGCCCAGCAGAAAGCCACGTCTCGTGTACTCCAGGTACGCTGTCTCGTTCCCCTGGACAGGTAGGACTGACAAAAGAGCCTTCTTTCTCCGTGATGGCCGAATCTACTGACTCGACCTGGGAGAATCGGTCACTTTTCTCACAGTGTGTATCAGCAAGTTTTAAACTACACAGAGACACAGCCTGACATAGTTGTGTTCCTTCGACTGGCACTTGGGGGTCAGGACTAGAAGCTGGTGACACTTCTTCAATTAAAGAACTGAAGGGAAAGTCTGAGGTGACATTAACCTCCTCTGCAATCTCAAGGGCACAAGTTTCTTTAGAAAGTATTAAGGTGACTGTTTGTAAATTATCACCTTTTCTCTCGTTTTCTAATGATTTCTCTGACACCGCAGGATACGTGGATGTACAGTTAGCAGAATTCGCTTTTCTGTTTTCTATGAGAGTCACCTCTTCTGGCTTGATTATTTCGTCAGTCACGTCAGGAAGTTCTACATTTGATGCCGAGGCCTCCTGCTGCAGCTCCAGTCTGCCAGCCGGCACTTCTTCTCTGGGGCTGGTTGGTGGTGATATCGTGAGCGTGAGGTCTATGTCGGAATCCTCCTCTGAGAACTCCAGGCTGGCCTCCTCTCTATTCAGAGAGAGTCTGGTTGGTTGGGTAAATGCTGAATTCAAAGACTCAAAACTCCTATTTTCACTCTGGAGACCGCTCTTGTCATCGGTCAGTCCTGAGGAGCTATCGGCTGTATTACCCATTGATGGCATGTAGTCATGTGAATAACCTTTTTCCAAAGTGGCAGAGGCTGGTGCCAGGACCACCTCTTCAACCTGCGACGGCTCAACGACCTCTTCCGAAGATATGCCAAAGAGACTTGGAGTCTGCAGAAAAAATTCTTGAGAGAGTTTCATTTCTTCTTTGGGTAACGAAAAATTAGAACTTTTAACTAACGATAATGCCTCCGCCACCACTGAATTATCAGATGGTGACGATGAGCCTGGAACAGGAATCTCTTTCTGTAGCGAACACACTTCTTCGGCAAGTGTCTCTCTACTGACGGAGGAGGCACACAGGTGCTTAGTGCCTTTTTGTCTGGACGTTGCTAGAGAGGGAACGTCCCTAAGGCCTTGTGTTTGTGCTTTTTCAAATGCAGACACGGGATGTCTAAGACTTGTAGCAGGTGGTACCTGTTTAATCGACTCCATAGTAAAGGCCATAGGTTCGTGGGTTCTATTTACAACTTCTGTCTGTACTGGTACATAGTTATTTTTTTCAAAAGTGAACGTAACTGGTTCCAGATTAATCATCACATACTCTGTATCATCCTTCCTCTCCAATGAAGGCTGGCGTTCTTGGTTTACGGGGCTTCTGTGCTGGACATGGCCCTGTAAGGTACCTGTTTTTGTCTGCACTGTTGCATGAAAAATATCAGCTTTGCTTTCCAGGGTGCTGTATGCAGACTTCTGACAAATCACTGACTGACTGCTGATCCCATCGTAAGTCTTGGTGAGTGCGGTTTGCGTGACAGTATCGTCAGAAGTCACTCTTGTGCTATCAGGTGGCTCAAAGGCTTTATCTTCACCAGGAATAGGAGGCCCATTAGTTTGGGTACTTCCAATACCAGAAAGCACAAGATTAGAAGTCTCTAGGTTATCTGATGAATCTTCTTTGGCTTTTTCCCCAATTACCTAAAATGACAAAAACAAACACAAAAAAACCCCAAGAATCAAATAGATGGTTTTACATTTGCATGTGGTGAAGAAGGAAATGATAGAGGATCCATTCCAGTTTGTTCTTTTGGATCTTCTACTCTTTCACAATAGCAGAGGGTAGAGACCAAGCAAACCACTCTCTTCTTAGGTAGACTCTTCTTAGGGAGACTTACCACAGCCCCAAACAGGATTTTTTCTTTAAATATACACACCAATATATACACACCAACTGTAAAGCAGGGGCAGAGTAGCCAAGAAGATGTTGGAAAAAAAAAATCTCTGAATATATGCTATAGAAATTGTCAGGCATCATTAAATTTAATGCTCTTTCTACCTCTAAATAGTCTATTTCATGTTTCCAAAAAAAAAAAAAAAAATCCTAGAATTAGTAATGATGATAGCTGATTACAGATTACCACAACAAAAAATACTTTACTAGGTAGTAATCTAACTCTTCCTAAGTTTATAGTCTCATTCTAAGGTAGAGATTCTATTTTTTTTTTAGAAATTTTTAAAAAGTTTATTATTTACTTAGAGAGAGCACGCACGAGTGAGCAGGGGAGGGGCAGAAAGTGAGAGAATCCCAAGCAGTCTCTGTGCTGAAGCATGGAGCCTGAAGCATGGTTTGATCTCATGAGCCAGGAGATCATGACTTGAGCTGAAATCCAGAGTCAGACACTTGCGGATGGAACTAGAGGGGATAATGCTAAGTGAAATTAGTCAGAGAAAGACAAATATCATACGATTTCACTCATATGTGGAATTTAAGATATAAAACAGATGAATAAAGGGAACGGAAGCAAAAATATAAAAACAAGGAGGGGGAC